TTGGCTCCAGGTTCCAGATGCTGATGCAACGATAGAGACAGTGGAGGCTCACAAGAGGCGTGTGGAGTTTTTCGAACGATGCCAGCGAGAAGCTTAACTTGAAATGGACTCTCTGAGACCAAATTTAATTGGATGTATTCCTTAACACTCAGATCTTGTTTCCACTCCAAGGTGCAGCATCCTGATTGTCAAAGAAGGTGAAGAAGCCGCTGGCAAAGAATTTAGAGTCATTCAGGTAGACTACAAGGTTTTTGTTTGGAATGATACACATTAATTATTCCAGCAGAAGAATGCATTTTTATTTAAAAAAGATAACATCCAGGCAAATGACCTTATAGATCCTTACGGTGGTTGAGCCCAAAGATTCAAAGGTGCAAAGATGTGCTGCATGGCATGCAGCCATATGCCGCCACTCTCAAGGTGCCGCAGCTGTGGCAGGTGCTTGGCGAAATGCCTCCTGTCAACCGGTCACTTGTGGCCCTTCGGTGGGGACGCCTTGTGGGCCTCGAGGAAATCCCAGCTTGAAGTGCTCAACAATACTGGGATTTATCAACATCGGCTTGAGGTCTGAGTTCGACTCCGACTATGAGATCATGGTTCTGCCCTTGAATTGTTTGAGAGAATGAGAGAGAAGTGGCCATGCAAAGCCATTCGCATGTGTGGAAATAAGGTTAGCACAAGCGGAAAAGGCACCTGGGGGGACAAATGACGTAAAGGACTTGGGGAGTGTCGGACACAGAAAAGGGAAGCTAGCAGCAATATTTAGCAACATGTAGCAACAGCAAGGTGTCATTAAATGAAGTGGACGAGCCAGGCGCTCCTGCCGGCCATGGAACTTCAAAGAATTTAAAGGACCAGTGGCCAGTGGTTGATGCAGAATCACAACCTCAAGATTCAATATTGTTTGGGTTATTGATGGTTAATGATTTCGGAGGTGTTCGAAGTTGTTGAGAGCGCTTGAAGGACGGAAATGCCTGGGAAGGGTTTTGCACCAAGAGTGCAGTGCAGCAGGTTTGGTCAATATCACAAGCATATTGTGTTTCGAGTCTTGTCTTGTTTCCTTTTCCATAAGGCCAAATGCTCACCAGCCCCAACCTGTACTGGCTGTTGGGAGCTAAAGCCGGCTGGCTCGGACCAATGGCTAGCCATTTGTACTTTATGGGCAAAGATTTAGGATCTTTAACCAGAGTCTTTCAAGTTGAAGTCCTTTTGTTTCTTGGACTTCATTGTTAGACTTGCCAAACCCTTTGGGATTTACGTTGGACAGTGAGTGGCGCCAAACATCGGATGCCGGAATATGCAGCGTCTAATAGCTGTGTTCCAATCTTCTGAACTGCGGATCAGTGATGCATCATCAGCTCAGAAAACATCCCACAAAGCTCCAGGTGTATAGATATGTTTAACCATTCTAATTACTGATGTACAGTGAGTGTGGCTCAGTATGAAGTGTTGGCTGATGATGCGTTGTCCACCGTTTCACGTGACCTGTCTCATGAACAATCATGGTTGCATTGCTTTTGAAGGCAGAAACGATGGAAATAGATACACGGCACCGATTTTCATGGGATATGGCATTCGGCTCTTTGCCACCGTAGTTCGTCCTCTTTTCAAGGTCCGCAAGTCGCAAACAATGCGTTCCGATGGAGACAGTATTTGTGAAAGTTGTGTATTGTGCCTTGCAGGGAACACAAGAATCCTGTATATATATATAAGGAACAATACCGTCTGAACCCTCAATCCTAGAATCCTAGGATGGAAAACCAACCCAAAATTTCAAGCAACTCCCAAAAATAACGAGTGAATCAGGGGGAGGGCAATCCCAAGTGACACCGGAACGAACAGCTTCTCTTAACAGAAGCCAAATCTCACACCCTGAACTGAATCCAACATGCTGAGAGGAAATCTAGAAGACCACGATGCCTTCCGCATTTGTCATGGGAACCGCGAACCAAACCCAGAACGCCAAACCCCACATCAAATCACTACAACCAATGAAATGCAGACTTGAACCAAAACCGCACTTCACAGACGCAATCATAGACCTTAGATAACCTTAGAACTTCAAGGGTCAAGCCCTAGCTCAACTTTTGGTCCAGATGTTCCTTTATTAAGGCCAAGACCACAATAGCATTCCGCAATTAAGATTCTGTGTCAACCGTTCCACGCGCAGCTCAAAGAAATCCAGGCCAAAGTAGCACGCATTGCTGATGTGCAAGCACGGTTTTGACCGTGACTTTACTGACGTGGCTTTGCAGACACGACACTTATGGAAGTGTGCGACGTCGAAAAAGCACGAAGGAACAGCGGACATGCAGATGAGTCAGATGAGTTCATAGGTTGGTAGAATTGATTTCCTTTGATACAATAGTGAAGAATACCGCCTATTTTCTTGTCGTGGTCGAATGTTAACAGATCAAGAGTTCTAACAAGAATGGACCTTTGCAATGACAGCTATTTCGATGTTATTTTTCCTTTATCGTGCTTGCTATACGTGACGGTGACGCATTTTGACATTTGCGCAGCTTTCCTACATCCCTGTCATTGGCCCGTTCCTGTACTTTGTGCACTCTTGCTGGATGGCCTCCATCTATTGCTTCGAGTGCCCAAATCACTTGCAAATCCGGTGACCCGCATCCATCCTCCCTTCGAGCCTCCTTTCAGGCCGTCAGAGAAAGCTCGACAGAGAGAAGCACGTACTACGGAGATCTACGGAGTAGGATTTCCATATAACAAATGGAGCCAATTGTGAGCACAGAGGTGCCATCTACTTATGCCCCTGTTCTTTAAACAGTTGTGCCTGCTACTTTTCCCAACTTCAATGGAGTTTAGAGAATATGAGAGAATGATAAATAACACATTGGGGATCATTGAGGAGTAGTTTAGCTCTGGAATGTAGTTCGATCAACATAGATTTGATGCATCCAAAAGAATCTCAGAGCCGAGTTTGTCACTTCGGTATTTTAGTCAAGGCCAGGCCTTTCGCTTTTTGCCTTTCGCTTTTTGCCTTTCGCCGTGTTTGAGTATCCTTTGACTTGTAAACAGGACATTACTGTACAATACTCCTACGTTTTATAAATACAGATAGTGTTGCACGTTGTTGCAAATACTTTTGAGTGCTTTTCTATGCTTTTCTAAAAGCTTGGATCACTTTGCCTTTTGCAGGTACGGCTGGGTGCATCAGCGCTGGTCAGCAAATGCGCGAGTGGATTACTTCGAGGTTCCTTGTGATGTCGACTGGCAACAACTTTGCAGTCTAGAGTCTAGCAGTTGGAATATATGTATCAAGAAGTGATGCAATCCAATACATAAATCACTCAAAAGACCAGATGTTGCTTCTTTAGTTTGTCGATGACTTGTGTCAATTTGTTTGCAGCTCTGACGGCCAGCGCCACTGGCTCTACTTCTCGGGCTTCGGATTTCCAGTCTCTTTTGTTAGCTATTTCTGCCACAGCCCTGGACTGGAGTGCCTTTTGAGGCTAAAGGATGCGACCATCAGTTCACCATTCACGACAAACTGTTTCCTTCAAATCACATTCAACTCTGGTGACGAGGTCCTCGATTTATCGATGCCGGTGTTTTTGCGTTGTTTTTCCCCCTCTTCGTGCTGACGGTGTTGCCGTCGTGTTTGCACCACCTCATCGAGTACAGTACTCCTATAGTCAGTCTGAACCAGGCAACTAGAGCAGAGCCAAAAGCACTTCAGTCATGAACTAAGCTGAAGCGGTCGGGACTTGCTGGCTGAAAGCAACTATATGTGATGTTATAACTATAACTATAATCTAGCAGTTTATAGCTCAACGGCGCAAGAGTCCTCAGCACTGAGTGCATTCGGATGCATTGCAATGAATATTGATGTTGAGCAAACATGTGAGGGCTTTTGGCGTATGAGTGCAGCTCTGCCTGCTTGATCCTGCATGGCACATGAGCGACACAATGCTTTTTTTGAAAGTTAAATTATTGAATGGCTAAGCCATGCTGAGGGCATCAACTCAACTTCGCTGAATTCAGTGTTGTGAGGGAATGCCCAAAGCAGCTGCAGAGACTGCCGCTCTTCTTTATCGTTCAGGAGAAGTACATGCACACAACCTGAACACGAATGCTTATGTAATTGTTTCCAGTGGCAGCCACTCGATTTGCAGGCTTGTTCAAGAATTTAACCAATGACAAGGAAAGTGAAACAAGCTGCTGCTGCCAGGGTGTGTCCTGCTTTCTGGTTCGTCTTTTTGAGGGCCGCTCCAGAGGCCTTGGTTTGATCAAAAAAGAAGATGCTCAGAGTTGTTTGTTGGCATTTCTTGTGCAGGCGCAAAAGTCAAATAAAGGTGTGCTGAAGCGTGTAGGGTGTCAACCTACCAGCTCCAGCCCTAAGGGCTGACAAATTTGGCCTTTTGACCTAAGCTACAAAGCCGCATTGGCCGCATTGGGCATCGAGATGCGAAAGATGACAAAGATCGACTAAGCGTCTCACGATTTGGTGCGGCAGGAGTTGCCTTTGATCATTCCCGTGTGCTAGCACACCTTGTGCATGTACAGAAGGAACTTTAGCACACCGAGTTGGCCACCGCTGTTTGAACAATGTTTGAGTTGCTTCGCTGCTCACGTGGCTGACCTTGGTGAGGCCAAAAACAAGGGTTCAGCGTCCGCGCTACCATTTAGCACATAAGATGTTGCCTTTTGGTCGCTGAGCGCAGAACAACAACTAAAGGAGAATCTAATCCAAGTGGGATGTGAACAGGTCAAAGCTGTGTCATGATTGAATCATGATTGCGTTCTGGCTTCTCTCCAGCGATGACAGATGTGGTGATCATATGCTAGTCAAGCAACCAACTATCAAAGCGTCAGTTGATGTTTGCTGTTTGCCAGGGCATGTCCTCCTTATCTACGGAACTCAATCATGACTTACACTTTGGGTGGCAATTGTATGGAAACAAATTGGAGATGACATGAGATGACTCATGTGTTTGCAATGTCACACGGCAAGCAAGAATGCTTTTTGAGGTGTACTTTCTTGGCCTGAATTCCTCCTTTAAACGAACAAGACAACTTTCTGCACTAGTTCAAGTGGAATGGATTGGGATGGGGCTCGAAGCGGGTCTTGCCTTCAAGGCTTTGACTAACAGTTGTCATTCCAGGAATCTCCATTTCTGGTCTATTTTAGAAAGGTTACCTGCAGATCCAACTGCCATTGAGAAGAGTCAATCGAATATCATATGTTGGCGGTTGCACTGGGAGAGCCTTGCACGCCTTGGTACCAGGCTGTTGTCCTTACAACCTCGAGAGCAGTGAATTGGTGCGCAGACAGTCTTTCAACAACCAAGAATGACAAGCACTGCTGGGCTGTGAGCTTGCTGATGCGTCCTTGCTGCAAGGTTCGTGGTCTACAAGCAGCTTCAGAATGCAAACAGGGAATTTCAAGGCACTTGGTTTGACTGCTTTGAGTCTTCATCCTGAGTGGACTGCGCTGCTGCATTGCAAGGAAAAGACGTTCTAGACTTCAATATGGTTTGGATGCCCTGCGTTGGAATTCTGTGCTCCCACTTGCTTTCGCAGCGGCCTTGGTTTCAGCAGACATGCACCTCTTGTGCTCCACGCAAACCCTGGTGAGCGGTTCGATACAAGCTTGCTCAGTTTCATATTTATGCGCACGGAGAAGACGCGCCGGGATCTCACTTGCAGTTCTTGCAAATTGGAAACCATGCATGTTTTATCATTTTTTATCATTTAAATTCATCATAAACTGAAGCGTCACAGTACCAAATCTCCAGAGTGAGCGCATTCATACTGGGTCCTGCCATTCGAGCCCAGATTGACTTTTAAATCACAAAGAAAAGATCAAGTGTAGAATTCATAGAGGCCAGCCAAAAGAACAAGGAAAGAGAGAGGGAAAGGAAAAGGCCTAGGAAAGCCAATACTGTACCGCTTGAAAGAATATTGCAACATAGACAGGTCTACACACCGCAAGCCTTACAAGTCACCAATTTCAGGTCCGGTTCAATTCAATTCCGGACTCCGGTAGAGCCTGATTGTTCGATACAGTTGTTCTATACACGGGTGTTCTATACAGCTCGTTTGCTTCCCTGTGGTCCAATCTCAAGTTGCTTTAGCCAGTTTCAGCTGGGCACATCAATACATTGATACATCAACTCATCATTGCTCTCTCTCTCTCTCTCTCTCTTTTTGCTTGTGTGGCCGTCGAGGAACTCAAAGTAGGGAGTGGCGACCGGTCACGAACATGTTCACCTCTTGATGCTGCATTGTTTTAACTTTGTCAGTGAATGAAGTGACCCATGGGTCGTGTCTCTAAGGTGGAGTTGTGATACTCCAGTGGCACCTGTGGGTGTTTTGTCCCACCCAACCCGCCCTGTGCATGGGAGGGGGGTGTCACGCGTGGGCGATCGGGGGTCAGGCCTTCCTAGAGCCCAATGCGGCATCATGAATGTTAAGGCGGGTCGCCCGACAAAGTTTTAATTTACCACCCCGCTTAGAAGCTTCAGGTGTCACCATGGGAAAGGGTCTCGGATGTGACGCAGATTTCGGACTCGGATGTTACGCGGACCTGTTCGCTCACTTGTGCCGCGCCCGTGTGCCCGTGTGTTCCGGTGCCCGTATGCGCCCGTGAGTATGATGAGTAGTAGTCGTCGTCGTCGTCGTAGTCGTCGTCGTCGTAGTGGTAGTGGTGGTAGTAGTGGTAGTAGTGGTGGTAGTAGTAGTAGAAGTAGTAGTAGTAGTAGTAGTAGTGGTAGTTTAGCCGTAGCAGTAGCAGTAGTGGTAGTAGTAGTAGTACTAGTACTAGCAGCAGCAGCCGTAGTAGTAGCAGTAGTACTAGCAGTAGTAGTAGTAGTAGTAGCAGTAGTCGTAGTAGTAGCAGTAGTAGTAGTAGCAGTAGTAGTAGCAGTAGTAGCAGTAGTAGCAGTAGTAGTGGCAGTAGTAGTAGCAGTAGTAGACGTAGTAGCAGTAGTAATAGTAGCAGTAGTAGCAGTAGTAGTAGTAGTAGTTAGTAGTTAGTAGTCAGTTGTCAGTAGTTAGTAGTTAGTTAGTTAGTTTCGTTTCGTTTCGTTTAGTTTAGTTAGCTAGTTAGGTAGTAGTTAGTAGTCAGTAGTCAGTAGTTAGTAGTAGTAGTAGTAGTAGTAGCAGCGGTAGGTTTTTGCCAGCAAGGACCTATCCAGTCCGCCGTTAACGGCCAAGGCCATGGAGAGCTGTGAGGCCATGGAGGCGCCTCCAGATGCTGGACTCTCCAGATGGACCCTCGAGATGCTAGACTTCTGCTGCAATATCTCAGCTGGTTGGAGGCGGATCCGTGGGGACTGTGAACGCGCGCGCAGTGCTCTTTTTATTTCCACTTTACCCACCTCGACAGTTCCCTTCCTCTGTTTACGCAGACGTATCTGTATAAATAGATAGATCCATCCCATGCATTGTTGTAGAATGGTGGCCCAAAAGGCTAGGAAGCGGCCAACGGCCAAGAAGGTCGTGAAGCGCTTCGAAGGATGCGGGAGCTTCTTTACTTTAGCTTTGGTTTTCTGTCAGAGCCATGAGGGAAATGCATAGACAGTGGAAGAAGTGCAAAAAGCGGTGCGTGAGCATGTGAAATGCTGCGTGACAATGCAGACTGACGCTAGGAGAGGCCACGAAGTTCGCGTGAGATTGCGTTCCAGAGAACAAGACGAGAAACTCCTCCAATACCCAACTGGACATAGAACTCCTGGAGTATGAGCAAATCACAAAAAACGGGAGAACCTTCATGCATTCTTAGGATGGTTTTGGGATTCCGACTTCAACACACATCCGATTCGATGGCCTTATTGCTAGTGACTGCTAGTGTCCATTGCTATGGCTGGTTGGGGTATCCTCAACAAGGACTAGTTCAGTCATGGAGCTTAGAAATGCTTGGGGCGGCGTTGGAAGTGTGTGTGTGTGTGTGCCCGTGTGTCCGTATGCTCGTGTGCCTGTATGCCCACGCGCGCCCGTGTGTCCGTGTGCCGTCTGCCCGCGCATGCCCGTACGCCCGTGTGTGCCCGTATGCCCGTGCGTGCCCGTATGCCCGCGCATGCCCGTGTGCCCGTATGCCCGCGCGTGCCCGTATACCCGTGCGCGCCCGTATGCCTGCGCGCGCCCCTATGTCCGTGTGTGCCTGTGTGACGAGTAGAGTAGTAGTAGTAGTAGTAGTATACAGTAGTAGTATACAGTAGTAGTATACAGTAGTAGTATACAGTAGTAGTAGTAGTAGTAGTAGTATAGTAGTAGTAGTAGTAGTAGTAGTATACAGTACTAGTAGTAGTACTAGTAGTACTAGTAGTGGGAGACGCAGTAGTAGGAGACGTAGTAGTAGGAGACGCAGTAGTATAGGAGACGTCGACGTCGTCGTCGTCGTCGTCGTGGTCGTCGTCGTTGTCGTAGTAGTAGTAGTCATAGTAGTAGTATAGTAGTAGTATAGTAGTAGTATAGTAGTAGTAGTAGTAGCAGTAGTAGTAGTAGTAGGAGTAGGAGTATAATAGTAGTAGTGGTAGCGGTAGCGGTAGCGGTAGCGGTAGTGGTAGTGGTGGTAGTAGGAGTAGTAGTAGTGGTAGTGGTGGTAGTAGTAGTAGACGCAGTGGTAGATGTAGTAGTGGACGTAGTAGTAGACGTCTACTAGGCGTCGTAGTAGTAGTAGTGGTAGTAGTGGTAGTAGTAGTGGTAGTAGTAGCTAGTCAGTGACTAGTTAGGTAGTTAGGCAGTTAGTTATAGTTATAGATCGTTCGTTGTATAGTTAGTTAGTTTGTTACTTAGATAGTTATAGTTAGTTATAGTTAGTTAGTTATAGTTATAGTTATAGTTATAGTTATAGTTAGTTAGTTAGTTAGTTGTAAGTTGTAGTTAGTTAGTTAGTTAGTTAGTCAGTTAGTACCCTAAGTCACCGAAAGTAGTAAATTGACATTTTCATTAGATTTACGTAAATTGATGAATTTAGGTGGCAAAAGGTGTAAATGGGTTAGTAAATGTAAATTCAATTTAGGTACAACCTAAATTTATGTAAGTTGGTCTTCACTAAGGGTTTTCCTATTTTCTCTCTACTTTTTTTGATTTGCAAATATTCAAAACTGCATCTAAAACACATCCGTTGAAGAAAGTAATTTGTAAAACATATAGCCACAAGTAGAGACACTTGGATAAAAGCACAAGCACACACAGTCAGGTATAAGCGCACAGGAAAGACAAGCGCAGACAAAATGACTTGGGTGAAACAGAAAAGCAGACATACTCAGGTAAACACAGATCCAATTTGGAAGAACATGTGGCCACAAAGTGTTTGGGCTGCTACTTTTTGGGCAGCTGCTTTTCCAGAAAACCTCCTCTAACTTAAGCAAGAAAACCATCCTCTTCAACTTCTGGTGCTTCCTCCTCCTCCTCCTTATCCTCCTGCAACCCTTCTGCCCAGCCATGAGCTGGCTGCGCGGTCTCTCCACTTGCAGCAGGCCTTTTCAAAGAGTTGGCCTTTGCCTTTGACTTTGGTTTGGCCTTTCCTTTTGCTTTTGCTTTGGGACTCTTTCCTTTAGGGCTCTTTGCTTTGGCAGCAGGTTTCTTCTTCACAGGGCCACAGGGGTGATTTTTGCTCAACCTCTTCCTTCTCTTCAGGTGTGACTTGGCCCATAGGAATTTCTTCGTCTGCCATGCCAACAAGCTACTGCACCTATCTTTCAACTCTTTCAAAGCTCTTTTGAGATCAATCTAGCTGCGAAAGTAAACAACAACCAATAAGCCTGCAGTAAACTGTCAACAACTTCAACGTGAACAACATACAATGCTGATCAACTCTTTGTGCAAAAGCATTACATTCTCAGGTAAAGGGTAAACCCACACGACTGCTAGGTCTGTTTGTTTTGCTGGCAAGATGATGCAGAACATCATAACTGTTCATAAAATCTGGCAAAACCTGTATGATTTTGCGATGCACTTTTGGTGCACTTCTGATGTACTTTTGATGTACTTTTGACCAAAAGTGTATACACCTTTAAAAAGTACATCAAAAGTACATCAGAAGCACATCAAAAGTGCATCAAGAATTCATCGACATTTGATCTCAAGTTTACAGCCTTCGGCATGCCGCCGGCCACCAGCTCGAGCCCGCATTGGCAGGCAGCTTAATGATACAATACCCTGCTCAATCATACTTGTTGGTGCATTGGAGGTGCACATTTGGCTGGGTGAGTTTGTTGATGTTTATTTCAAGGTTGTTTGACCATGAAATGGAACAAATCCGAATCAGAGGTTGTCTATTCTGATCCAGCGATCCGAACCGGCATGTCTCAGTCGAATCACCTAAGAGGAACCAAGTGAAACCAACACAAGCAATGCGAACCAAGACTATCCACAAAACATGACCTTGAAAACGATTCTTCTTCCAAACTACTTGGCCGTGTGCATGTTTTCCTTTTCAGATCTTTTTTTCGACCATCTCGAGGGATTGCGACGCGCACCAGATATTCTTTTTCACACACAGAAGGCTTCAAAGCGACCGAAGAATTTCTAGATCTGGCATGATTTGTCGTTTTTTTCTCCAAACCGTTTGAAATGAAAGACCCAGAATGACATCGAACAACAATACCCTGCTCAATCAGACTTGTGGGTGCATTGGAGTTGCACATTTTGCTGGGAGAGTTTGTTGCTGTGGATTTCAAGCGAAGTCGTTTTACAATGAAATGGAACGAATCCGAATCAGAGGTTGTCTATTCTGATCCAGCGATCGACATGTCTCAGTCCAATGGTTGTCTATTCTGATCCAGCGACCTACTACCTACTACCTACTACGTACCACCTACTACCTACTACCTACGACCTATGACCTACGACCTACTACCTACTGTCGAAAATCTCGCGCGGAGAGACAATACTCAAGCAATACTAACCAATACAAGCAATACTAACCAAAACAATCCACAAAATACGCCGGCAGGCCGGCGGATTTATAGCTTTTTGAACTAAATTTCATAAATACATATCAAACGCACTTCAACTCACAACAAGACAACACACACACTTCCAAGTTGAATGGCATCCTCATGTAAAGTGTACTTACACAAAGTCTCAACCTGAAGAAAAATACACTCAAGTAAAACCATCCTCAAGTAAAAGCAATCTCACATCCTCAAGTAAAAGAAACCGCAAGTGAAATCACATCCTCAAGTAAAAGCTTCTCAAGTAAAGTCACACCCTCATGTAAAAGCTGCTCAAACAAAATAAAACAATGAAGTAAGAAGGCTCATGGAACAAAGTTTCAATTGCAAACATTTGGCGCAGCGCACCCACAGATACATCGTTTTTTCCTCCCCAATCACTAGAGCTGCTCATGTCCCTGAAGTTGCGCAAGACATCCATCATGGTCTCGATGCGGTCTTCTCTCCTGAGCATGGAATGAAGCAGCACTGGGCAAACAATGGTTATGGCCCAAAACTGGCTGGTCAGAAATAAACACATAATAGTGTCCAGTGTCAAACTTTCACCAACCATCTTCAAATGTCAAACAGTGATCAAACAATCCCAGAATCAAGCAGACGCCCTCAAGCAAAAGGTTTTGTTCAAGTCAAGAAGGGTACACACGCTCAAGTAAATGCAATCCCTTCAAGCAAAGGCAAAGTCCACACCTCCTGGCATGCTCAGTCAACAAAAACAAAAACCCATAGCGCAAATATCCTCAAGTACATGTTGTCCTGTAGAAAACCTTGCTCTTTGGACAAAGCCAACTCACATGAATTGAGACATTTTCTGCTTCAGAATCATGCTCACAAAAATTTACTCATAACCTAAAAAAATTTACTCATAACCTAAATTGGATTTACGCATAACCTAAATTGGATTTACTGTAATTTTTTACGTAAATTTTCCTTAGTAAAACCAAAATTTTACGTACATTTTATGGTTAGTAGAATTTCTAATTTGGGTGACTTAGGGTAAGCTAGGTAGTTAGTTCGATAGTTAGTTTTTTAAATGGTTAGTTAGTTAGTTAGTTAGTATGGGACTACGTGAAACCCATCCTTGCCACCATGATTCAGAAGATCAAGAAGTACATGAGCACCGAGGATGGCAAGAGTGAACAGGCAACTCAAGCCTGCAATTTGAAGAAGGCATTGAACTGCAGCACAAGATCTTCCAATTGGAGCTCTTCATCGAGGAGCTCGAGCAGACAATTCGAGAAGTGAGGGAACAGTGGTAACAACGGGACGCAAATTTTCAATAGTTCCAGCTGGCCTCACAACATGGCTTGAAACTCATGTAAAGGAGCTTGAAATATAGTGTCTGCAGACGTGGCAAGAATAACCATTTCTCAGACGACTACCCACATTTGCCGGGGCAGAGCCCATTGAATTGCGCTGTAAGTGTTTGGGTGGAGAGGGCGTGTCAGAATCCAGCAGTGATCCAACCACCCAAACATGACACAGCGCAAATCAAGAAGTGTAAATCAATTGAAGTGTACCGTAAACTTACAGGCCCGAGCTTTGGTCAAAAGACCGTTTTTGCTGCGCATTTTTGTAAAGGCATGAATCATCCAAAAGCTGTGGTTGCCTGAGAAAGGTGGTAAAGGCGGTGAAGTACCCATTCGTTGTGAATATATTCAGATATATCAATTTAAAAAGAATAATTCTGATTAGTGCTTTAACTATAGATTATTTAGTACACAAGAACGGCAAGATGAGGCAAGAGGTTGAAATCAATTTGCAGGTCAGAACGTCTTGAACACTTTCGTTTTCTGATTTGGAGTTCATGGGAGGCTGCGTGAACAGCCACTTACCAAAGACCCTTTTTGCCGCCCAGCTCGTTGGAGGAAGTGGAAGTCCTGTTGGGCCATGCGCCCCTGCATCGCCCTCCACAGTTCCACGGACTGGACGCCTTTCTTGTTCGCCCACTTGCCGATCTCGGTTCATCACCTCACCTGCACTGATTGCACGCTGCCCACATTCGCTTCATCCAAGATCTCAACCAGCACTGATTGCGCCCAGCAACTCATCCTTCTCGGTCTCAACCTCCTGAAGATGCGGTGCCGTCAGAAAGGCTGGTTGGAGCTCCTCCGTCCTCGCCCTTGTTTGGCAACAATGGGCTGAGCTTGCTGAAGCGCGCTGCTTATTCGTTCGCTCTCGTGTTCCAAAATGGGTTCGCCTAAGCGCTCATGGCAGCCAACAACTTTTTCAGAGCCACGTTGGGCTCATATACATGCAACAGAGGTTCACGCTTTTGATGGCTAGAAAGGGTCCTTGGTAAGTGGCTGGCCGTTCATGCAGCCTCCCATGAACTCCAAATCATAAATCAGAAGACAAAAGTGTTCAAGATGTTTACACCTGCAAATTGATAACCATTTGTCAGGCAACCACAGCTTTTGGACGTCCTGTCTGAGGAGATCCCTCATGCCTTTAGACCCCAAACAGTTTGTGTTTTCAAAATCGGAACACTCTGCAACTAGAGCTTGCGACGTCCAGAGCTGGGAGAGAAAGGATTGCAAGGCAGAGGCGGCCACAGCAGTCCAGAGCTGGGAGACAAATGTAGACACAGGGAGACAAATCTAAAGGATTGCAACCGACATGCAGCCCAGAGCTGGGGATCGCAACGCAGAGGCGGATACAGCAGTCCAGAGCTGGGAGACAAATGCAAAGGCTTGCAAGGACACGTGCAAAGGATTGCAAGGCAGAGGCGGACACAGCAGTCAGAGCTGGGAGACAAATGTAAAATTAAGGATTGCAAGGCAGAGGCGGACACAGCAGCCCAGCGCTGGGAGACACATGTAAAGGATTGCAAGGCCGAGGCGGACACAGCAGTCCAGAGCTGGGAGACAATGTAAAGGATTGCAAGCGACACGCAGCCCAGAGCTGGGAGACAAATGTAAAGGATTGCAGGGCAGAGCAGCTGGAAGACAAATGTGAAGGGTTTCAAGCGAGAGGGGGAGAGAGCAGGCACATGTAAAGGAAAGAAGGAAGACAAGGCGAGACACAATGACCAACAAGAAGGGGGACAACAAGGGAGACATGAAGGGAGACAAAAGGAAACAGAAGGGAGACAAGACGGACACAGTGCCCAACAAGGGAGACAAGGCGGACACAATGACCAACAAGAAGGGAGACAAGAAGGGAGAAAAAAGGAAACAGAAGGGAGACAAGACGGACACAATCAACAAGAAGGGAGACAAGACTGGAGACAAAGGGAGACAAGAAGGGAGACAAGGCGGACACGCTACATGGCCAGCGGAAAAGGGCGGACACCAGCAGCGACAGACCTGGGCGACAAATGTACAGAAACGCAGAAACGCAACATGGCCAGCAGAAAAGGGCGGGCTTCAGCGGTGGCGGACCTGGGGGACAAATGAATAGAAATGCTACATAGCCAGCAGAAAACCACCAGTGACAGACCTGGGAGACAAATGAATAGAAATGTTGCAAGTGAATAGAAATGCTACATGGCCAGCGGAAAAGGGCGGACACCAGCAGTGACACAAAGGGCGGACACATCTTAAGAAAGAATCGAGAACCCCTAACAATAAACTGTTTGGGGAACAATTGTCTTCTGAGTTACTAATAGCGGTGGCCTCCAACCTACTAGCGATGGCCCCTCTTGCCTTTACAGTCCGCGATTGACCTTGCTGGGAATGAATCCTGAACTAGCACGATGGATGGTTGTGCCTTCCATGGGTACCAGCTATCATCTCCTATCCTTTTGTCCTACCTAAGCCGCACACACTCATGGTCCTTAATTGTATTTCATATCAACTCAGCTGAGCACATCTCATCCGTCCACACTGAGTCACGAGTCCGATTGAACGAAGTTCATGAGTCTTTGTTGCAATGAACCGAATGCAGAGCTGAATGAATCATGAAGCGATGTTGCCATGTTTGATCAAGTGGCGGGGGGGCGGGGCTCGAGAGTGGAGGAAGTCCCATCACGACGCCCACACCATGATGGGACCACTAATCGGGATGTGCAATACATGGGTGAACTGTGAGTTCATGAACAGATGTTGTTCGTCGATGTGACAAGCAATGTATGCTCCCATGTTGGCCTTCTTTGCAAGTTCACAGTCAATGGCCTGTATGACTATATGATACTACTACAATATCACATGTGTGTTGATCAAGATGTTTCATGTTTTCTCACCATTTTTGTTCAACTTGAGCTGCTGCATGGCCAGCTCACTTTCTTCATCTCCGGGGCCCTGCAGCATGCGGATGTGTTATGATGATGCTAAGCCTTGTCCACAAGTAGAGATTACGCACAACACAAGTGCTCTACATTGATGCTGCATTAAGCATCATTAAGCTGTTTACTCCATGCCTGCTCACAGTCTGGATTTCTTCCAGATCTTTGATGTTCATCCCTCTTCACGGGACTCCTAAGGCCACTGCGTGCTATTTTGTCAGTGTATGTCTTGTTGATGACCTTGTCACTTTGTCAGTCTGTTTGCTCTATATGTTTTTGTTCCGTAGCCGTAGCCGGATTGCAAAGGCAACTGCTTTCTTGCCTTCACCTGAGGACGTTCAAAATGTCCGGCTCTGATCATCGCCTTAATTCAGGCCGGAGTTTCTTCACTTGGTCATTTTGTCACGGTTAGATGTCTGTGAATCTGTGATGATTGAAAAGGTGGGGGCCATTCTCGAACTGTCCCCAAGCCCTTTGTGCAAAGCTAAGACTGGACCGAGAATTTGCTATTGCCACCAAAGCACTGCACGAATGAATTGATTCTCTTTTCATGTGCGGTCTACCTTGGTGATGCATGATGCCATATATGCTGGTGTGTCAGTGTGTTGATGAGGTTTGCTTAGAAGGGACCTGGAAAGGTAAAGGGGGCCGGGCAAGCACCACAGGATCAATTTGATTTACTCAAATGTTCACATCGCAACAATAAACATCCCCCCCTACTCGCAATAATATACCTCAGACTCAGACCTCAAGACTATGGCAGCATCTTTATTGCTTTTAAGTTGATCGAAATTCCAAAACTAATTAGTTCAATCTGGAAAGAGGTTTATTATTGCACAGGAGAAAGCTAGGTTTATTATTGCAATTGTTCAGAAGCAAGTTTACTATTAATTGTACAGGAGAAAGTCAGGTTTATTATACGTAAGAGACAGTTGACAATGAAAGGAAATTGTTTGTTGACAGTAGTTTATAATTGTATCGCGTTCTATTTTTGGTGTACTGCAAAATCGGGTTTATTATTGGCAGTGGTCTATTGTTGTATGGTTTCGGAGGCCTGGGCCTAGAGAGTTTTAGGTTTATAATTGACTGGGAGTTTGCCATTGTTATGTGAACATGAATTTGTTGAGGTTCTGTAAGTGGAGGTTGGGTGGGTCAACATTGCACAAGCACACTCTTCTTTAGAAAACCATGCGGAGCCTCTCTGGTAAGACTATATTGAAGACACAACACTCTGACATGGAGGGCTGTGTGGTGCTGCCCCTTGCGCTTTCGGGTTGATATGTTTTTAAATGTGCACGTATAATTGTAGATGTGCAAGTATCTATATAGAATCTAAATATTCTATATTTATAGGTGAGTATAGTAGTTGTATCATACATAATAAATATGTGGGCGGTGATATTGATATGTTTGATGATGCTGCAGGTGCCCGGGACGCTCAAAGAAGGCCAAGCGAACGCCAGTAGCAGTGGAGTTGGCACAGCGCACAGAGGTGCACTGGCAATTCTCATGCCAGAGTGCTCATAAAAGCCCTAGCATTCAAACGTATTGAGTGAAAGTTCGCTCCGCAATTGGCCAGGCCCCCAATTTACTTGCCAATCTAGTCCGTCAATTTTGAAGCCTTCAAAGCATTAAGAGCATGAGTTGCATCAACGTTTCTTGAGATATCAAAGCTTTGCTGCCACATGTACTTCGTGTTGTCAACATGGCTTACAATTACAATGCTTGTGTGCTGTTGTTCTTTTGACTTGCTGAGCAGAAGTAAGATGTCATGCACCAATGAGCATGTTCATCACTTGTGTCAACATTGGTGCTCACAAATGTCACTTTCGGCAGCTTGGGCGGTCAACATATGTCAACATCATAGTGTGTGCACTGCTTGCTGGAAGGTGTCACTGGCTCAAAAGCACACATGACAAATTCAAGTGCTACAAGAAATCAGTGCTGCTAAGCTTTTTACCCCTTTCATGCTTTCACCCAGACCCCATGCTCAGTTCTCAGTACAAATGCCTTACTCGACACACCTGCAAAGTTGCACGTTTGTTTGCCCGGCGACCCACCTATGCCCAAATCATTGTCGGATCACTAGCTGGGTATGGGGCTCGTGCCAAGCTGAGGTTTTGGCACGTGGCCTTCCCAAAAAAGTTAATAGCATGTTTAGCAATTCTTGGTTTTTTGGTGTTTTGTTTGTTTTGCAACAAGGCGCGTCCTGCGACTCCTTCAGAAGACATTGTGCTCTCGCTTTTGCCTGAGACAGCCAGGTGAACCTCAGAGATATTGTGCTGGATACACGTTGCGGTTTTGAATCGTTTGCCATTGGTAGAAGAACTACATTTCATCCGCAGTGACGGTGGCTTTAGCATCAAGGGGTGTGGGTGGGAGGCGATCGTTTTCCGCAGGCCAGATGGACTAATTCTGCATAGTGGACAGACATCGTGGCTCCTACATGCTTTTCCGTGATCTGCTCTCCTGCTGTTTGACAGGCTTTGTGCGGCTGATTGACTACTTATGTGGTTTGGTCAAAGTCAACCGATTGGCAGCCTCGACCGTTTGGTGGAGGACTCGTGGAGAAGAGTTGTCAATTTTGTGTGGCTTGCAGCTGTTGCAGGGAGGGGGTCGTTCGAAGTTCTTTCTAGGCTGTGAGGAAGATGGATGTGACTTGGTCACAGATCGCTTTGGGCATCGTTGGGCTACGCCTGGTTTTACACCAACCTTTGTAACCAAGTATGCGGGGCGATTGATGTGGTTGGGGATGTGTGTGTGGCACTGCACATGATGTTTGACTTTCACCCAGTGTGCAGCAACACATTTCTTGTTGTGCCGGCGATGCATTCACCCGTTTCTATAAGGTCTCTTAAAGTCTTAATGATTTCTCTCGGCCATACTCCTTTACACGTGTCTCTAGTTGCAGACATAGGTTGGAGGCCATCGCCAGTATGTTCGAGTCCATCGCTGTTAGGTTGGAGGCTATTGCGATAGTAGGTACACTTCAAGGAGTGTTCTCTCTCTCACCTGCGTCCAGGGCTTTCGTGCCTTTGTAACTGTATTCGCTGTGGTTGCCCAGGCAGATGATGTGGAGAAGTGCTTGCAAGCCGGAGCTTCAGTGAATGATCCCATTAATCCAACTGGCCAAACGGTCTTGGATCTTTACGTCGACTCCTCAGCCACTTGCGCATTCTCAAAGCTTTCATTGAGAGAGGAGACTATCCAGTATAACTCCACAACTTGTTTCATGTTGCTTCTAAAAATCAGCAAGTCATTATAATTCGACGCCCTCTAAGAATGCCGTTTCTATCATCCTTTTACTTTACACATTGACGTCTAATGTGTTGGAGGTGATCGAGCATGCAGCGCTCATAGATCATGCCCTGCAATTTAAAGGTGGCGCGCACGTGCGCGAAAAAGCTCCTAGTAGCGTCCTTGCTTCTAGTAGGAAGGCCAGGAGCCCCTACTAGCGTCCTTGCTACTAGTAGCGATGCCAGGAGCTCCTAGTAGCTTCCGTGCCGCTGTTCCAATTCCGGCAGGGACACAGCAGCAAAAGTGTCCTTTGGTGCAGGCACGCCAAAAGATGCGACTCTTCACTTCGAGCACGTGCAAGAAGCTGCTTTCAAGGTCTGCGGGCTGGCATGAAAGGTTTGGGAAGGATTGGGTTTCAGATTGGACACAGACCTTGTCAATTGGGCTCCCACTTCAATGTCTGTCAACTTTTGCTGTGCCTGTCGCCTGAGGTCATGAAAACGTTGATTGACGGTGGTGCTGTTTTGTCTGGCACGTCGGCAGTGATGAAGCAGGGCTTCAAATAAAGACAAGCACAAAGTTTGCTTTTAGGAGGTCAAGGATGAGGATCGCAGGTTGATAATCTCCAGGATTCACAACACATGACCGATGGACCAAGGGAAATCCTTCACAATTGGGATACTGACCCTTATTATGAGGTTAAGTAAAGACAACGTCAAGCTCTTCAAAGAGCCTTAAAAGACATGTTGCAAGTGACATGTCGCTGGCCTGGCAAAGGAGCTGTTCGGAATGCAACCTTGTTTTACATTGTTTAACTTTAAAGTGATTGCACCAGCTTGTGATTCTGAGCAAGTCGTTAAAGAGGTTCAATCAATGTATGCCTATATATTTCGATCAGGGTTTTGGCGTAAACAATTTGCACGTCCAAGCCAATGCTCTAAGTTTCACAGCATAGCGCACCCATTGAACGCAGCCAATGAATTCATGGAGAAAAGGCAGCTTTACTTAGATTTGTGTGGGTTGTCCTCCTCTTTTGCATCTACAGCCCTATGCTTCAGTAGCAAGGGAGACAGTCTGCTTAAACTTACTGTGAGGTCATTCTCTGCGGAGATGCTGAAGGAGGAAGATGCTGATGACATCAATGACGACAAGGCATCAGCACCAAAGCTGGGCATTTGATGATTTGATGGGCGTAGTTTAAATAGTGATTGAATGTGTTGCTTTTGCTGTGCTGCCTCCACGGTGGTTCCCAAATTTGTCTGGAACACTTGCTTGTGTGCATCGGGACAACCATGTCATACGTGGAAGCCAGGGGCTCTCAAACTCAATCCCAAAGACAAAAGCATAATTCTTGACTCAACATTATTTGACCAAAAGACAGACCCAAACTGAACGGATCAAGCTTGTCAACTGAAATGCTGATTGTCATGTTGGCAGGAGACCTGCTGTGCAGATGAGGTTCCTTGATCATCAGCTTGCTTCAGAGTTTGCAACAAGAAGCTGTCATGCTGTTTCATATGGTTTAAGTTTAAGTTCTCATTTCAATCTCTTCAGAGACATTTGGTTTACTTTCATTCATTCCTGGCTGAGCAGGAGACAAGAAAGTTTCAGTTTTCGAGATGCAAGTTCCCCAGTGCACAAGCATGTTGAACCCTGGTACCGTCAAGCCTGAAACTTGTAATTAATATCTTATACAATGTGTTGTGTTGAGACACGTTTTTCTGGAACTAAGTCCACTCGGATCCAGAGATCCCGGAGGGCACCGTAGGCACTGATAGGTTAAGGAGATGTGCCCATGGCGGCTGATGGCGTGCTATTCAGCTTGTTTGCAAACAGTTTACAACATATTTCATGTTTAAGATCATTTTGAAGCAAACTGTGAGGACACCTTCGCTGCCACGATTACCCAAAGATGATGAAGGATCACATTTTCACAGGTTTGGCATCAGTCGATTATTTTGATTATTTGACCACAATCAGAATCAATCGTGATTGCAAGTTCAGATCGGTTCTTTGGGTTTTTGACTCTACACACCATGCCGTTTGTCCTGTTCCTGCATTTAGAGAAGTTCGATTCTGGAGAGGCAAGTGACGGCTCCGGCAGTAATGCAAGTCGCTGATTATTTCCTCCGACCAGAAACTTGCATGCAAATTCATGTGAGAGATTGAAATAACTAATAACCCCGCGCTCAGCCTCAGCAGTTTAGTAATGTTTAGTATTGGCATGCACCTCAACACTACACATGCATTCCTACCCCAGAAAACGATAAGAGTAAATAACAACGATAATAATGATGATTATACCGGCACATCAGTTTCAACCTTTCCCATTAACAATAGATAGGTAATGTTAATGAAAGAGTTGACTATCCTCCTCCTACATTCCCCCCCTGCTGAAGGAAGAGGTGAGAACCTAGCTTTCAAATCTCACTTTCCATTCAGTAACCGCACTGACTGGGCCTGTTTGGTCCATATGCTGCCAGTACATGAACCACGACTGCAGAGATGTCCGGAACGATAACGAAAGATAAGGAAATGTAGCAAAAAAACACCCCTGGTGGGCAAGCACCCAATTTTGTTTTCATTAAACCTTTTCAAGGGCAGAAGTGTGCGGCGCGGTAGTCTTGTTTAGCTGTTTATATTATATCATATCTGATTTTTTGCTACTGCCATGTCTTTTTTCAATACCCCATGTGCATATAAAAATAATCAATAACCCATGCAGGTCCCCGGGATAAAGCTTCGGATAAACATTCCTTCAAGATCCTTCAAGTAATGTCTTGAACAAGCAAAGCAGCAAGATTGTAGACTGTATTTCATGTCAAGCTCTGAGCACTGTCTCAATGGCCAAGCGCAAGTGTTTGCTCTGAGGAAATGACTGCCAAGGCCTCAAGAGCTGCAAGACCTTTCATTTGATCTTGCTTCAAGAGAGTTCAAATGCAACCTGCTCAGGTCCTTTACGAGGGCTCCCGCACATTGCTTGCCAATAGCAAGGCCACTTGATCATTGATTGAACTTTACATAATGTCAAGCTTGTCAAGACTATGGCCAGACAGCATGTAAACTACAATGAAACCCACGATGCTTCTAGCATGTTTAAGCAATGTCTGAACCAGGTTCGACGATCTTCTGCTTACAGAGAGACTAGCACCTTTGCCGCAGAAAGCATTGTACTTATTCCATGTTCATCCTTCCCTTTATGTATCAGCATGTTGTTCTCTAAATGTGGTACCTGTCAGACACTGTCAGCGGCTG